AAGTCATCCGCTTACTGCAGATGGATAAAAAATCACTGCCCAAAGAAGGTTGGGACCAAGTATGTTCTGGAAATAAAGGTTCCCACTAGCCTTAGACGGTACACAAAAAGGAAATCAAGATCAAGAATGGATAAGTTCCTCAAACGGTCGGGAAAAGAAAGGATATTTCAATCAGGCACTTTTTATTAAGAAGAGGTCTTAAGAAGCAGGTCTTTGAAGGAAGCTGAAAATATTTTTTTTCATTTTTTACTTTTTCCTTTTCTTGTGATCTACTTAGACATTTTTAGATATCCCCCTTCCCTTTTTTTAACCCATCCTTTTGTAGTTTTCTATAATCCAGTGGCTTGATACGATATACGGCAGTGACAACCTGCTGGTAATAATGCAGTGGACTAAGAGGGTCTTTACCTAAAGACACCGCGGAGTGAAATATTATTCCCAAGACAAAACTTAGAGGCTTTTATGCTTACGATGAGTTTATTAGATTAGAATAATAGTTTAGCTGTAGTATGTATTATGCTGCTCGAATAAAAATGTACTTATGTTTTCAATTGATTAATAAATTCATAATCTAGCCTGGCTATGGGTATACAAAAAAAAAAATAAAAATAAAAAAATAAATAAATTTGAAATTTATAATAAAAAAAAAAAAATATTATATAATATATACAATATATAATATATATATTATTTATTTATTTATTTAATAAAATTAATTAATTTTTTATTAAAATTTATTTTTATACAAGTTATTTTTATAATTTATAATATATATATAATAAAAATTATTAATTATTTTTAAAAAATTTTTATTTTTATTTTAAAACCTTATAATTTTTAAATTAAGTATTTATTATATATTATTTATTTTTTAATTCTTAAAATTAATTCATTTATTATAAACAAAATTAAATAAAGAATAATTTTTAAAAATTTTATAATATAAAAATTAATAAAAATATAATGTAATACAAATAATTGATATAATTAAAAAATTTTAAAAATTTTATTAAATTAAAATTTGAGTTTCTTTCTTCACTACAGGCCTATTACAGAACCATAATACATTGTTTAGTTTAATTTAACTTATATCAAGTTAGAATAAATAGAACCTAACTCAACTTCAAAAGTTTTATATTATTGTTAAAAATTTGACATATTGTTGAGAAATTCAATTTTAAATTTTGATCTTGATATCTTTTAAAATTTTTTCAAAATATAATTGTAAAGATTATATTTAAAATATTAATTTTATTATTAAAATTAATTTTATAATAGAATAATTATTTTTTGAAAAAATTTTAAAAACATCAAATTTAAAATTTCTAATTAAATTCTTTAACAATAATTTTATTAAAATATATTAAAATTTTTAAAAACAATTAAAAAGATTCAAATTTTAATTTAAAAAATTTTTGAAAAATTTTTAATCTTATAAATTATTGAGTTATATTACATTTTTTATCAATTTTTTATATTAAAAAAAAAATTGATTTTTATTCAAGTTTGTTTACAATAATTGAATTAATTTTGAAAAATTAAAAAATTAATAGCATATTATGTCCAGTCCAATTTAAAAATTTTAAAGCTCTAAAATTAAAATCAAAATTTTTAAGGGGTGATTAATGAATATAATTTATATCATATATTAATTGTAATATTTGATTTTATTAAATTATTGATTTACATAGAATCACATAGGATCAACTGTAAGTAATAATTGAAAATTCTAATAAAGTGCAAAACAAACCAATAATAATATCAAATTCAATAGAGAATGTTGGCAATCAACTCAAAAATATGAAAACCTTATTGATATTTCCAGAGCTATTTAAAGGAAGGAAAGGTATCATTAACACAAATCACTGTCAAATCAAGAAAACAATAGATTTAAAGTACAAAAAGTTTAAAATAGAATTTGTGATGTTCGTTTGGTTAAGAATAACAAAAAAAAAAATTATTATTACTAATATGCTTTGCTTTTTAATTTTTAAAATTAATAGAGTTACAATTGATTTCATTCATTAAAAGAATTAGATGGATATGGTCAAATAAGAAAACAGTATAATTCAAGATCACATATTTTTATATTTAATAAAATTTTATTAACTATGAGATAGATAAAGCATTGTAAACATAGTCAAATTCTTCTATCAACATAAAAACCAATTTTCTCGGAAAAAAACCCAATTTTCTCCGGGCATGCAATGTGTGCACAAAGATGTGCAAGTTTTCTATCTATAATAATCCCAAATTGAGTTAAAAACTACTTCTAATGGTTAGTCCAAAATCCACCTAACCATGTTTCTGATCGAATCGACAATTTTGTGAGTCATGGCATGCGCTATTTCGCAAGATCATTCTGCATAATATTTCCTGGTACAGTACCTTCATTATAACACTGATTTAACAATAAACCAAGACTAACCGATTAAACATAGGATGCCTAAATATGCTGTTGTTTGCATATATTTGTATATATATAATTTTTTTTTGAAGGGTAACAAGAGGACGATAAATGCTTGGTCTGTTCTTTTTTCTTTGCTGGATTATCTTTAGAATAACTAAATCCAGAACATTGATTGTCGAGCATGTAATTATAAAAATCAGGTAAATAAAAAGCCCTGTTGGTTCTTCGGACCGTTAAACGTCCCTAAAATGTTTGACGAACTATGTGGAATCGAACCGTTTTCCTTGGAAATTAGAAACGAATTAATTTGCGTAGCTTCATTAGTCGTTATGTAAAGAAAAGGTTTCATGTGAAAAGTTGTTATCAAAAGATCACTTCGAACTATTAAGTAGATTCCTATATAAAGATAACAAGTAATTTTTGACGCAATAAGGAAAATTACGGTTTTTTGGTGCTTCATGCATTATTATGTCATTCCAGCATTAATGAATCCTTATTGGTCATAATAAATTCATTGTTGTACACCGGAACAGGCCGCAGCGTCGAAATTACTATTTTTATCATAGAAAGAGAGGTTCACTTTCGGATGCCAAACTTTTTAATGACTAGGCCCAAAGAGTGAAGGTTTGAATTTTTGCTCAATAGTTTTTTCTCGATCAAATATACAATCCAATTGATGTTTAATGTACGTGAAAAAAAAATGGAAGAGGAATCTTTGCGATCACCTAATTCGAAATAATGCTAATCGATCTTAAATCCCCTAAAATACCTTGTTCGCTTTATTTACAATCCCTCTCTCCTGAATTCTAATAAACATAATAGACCGCCAATTCGAAGCAAATTTTGTGTAGTAACAAACCCAAAAGTACGGAACTAAATATCCATTGTCCTAGATCGGCACACAATTTGCACATTTATGCAACCTAACCTAATACTGCATTGTGCAACTGTTGTGTAAGTAGGACATAAACGCGCTGTGGCGCGTTTTATTCATACGTACTCGTGAATTCCGATAGTCAGGATCGTTTTGCTTTGCTTGTGGGTACAAAAGCTATTTATAAATATTAATTTCACGTAATAAAACCACCATAACAGTTATAGTGTGTAATATCTAAAATGTTTGATTTAACCTTGGTCATAATATTAAACGACCACAGAATGAAAACAGTACAGCTTTTGGTACAATAGGAATTATTTGTTATACACGTCATTCTGTGCTGCCAGGGGTTGAATAAAGAATGCCCACTTAATCTATCAACAGAGGATGAAATTTAGAATAAAAAATGTTCTGAATCTTTCGGATTTATTATATAATTCTTAATTAATAATCTTCACCTTCCAAATTAAGATGTGAAGTGTTTTTTTTTTTCTCCTTCTGTAACAAGATATTTTTAGGTTTCTGCGAAACTGAATCACTTGAATATATCCAATCAGATCCCAACTTGGTCCTTTGGATTAATCGAAAGGCATTTCTTTTACCTATTTCAAAATGACGCGCCACAATTAGGAAATAGGCTACCCAGTGAGCCGAGCCGAGCTGAACTGATTGGTACTGTCAAGGTCTCCAACGAATAAAAAATTTATTCTTGTCTAACATTATAAATGGCATTCAGTACGCTGACGCTGTAGTAATATCTCAATAAAAAATATTTTTTTTTTCGAATAAGGAAATGACTGGTTTTCTTCGTTAAACAAAGAAATTTCATGTAATATATATATGTGTGTGTGGTTTACCAATGATTAAAGCCATTATAGAGATCCAACATTCTAATATCTCGCAACAATTTAAATCAATTCAAATTCTCATTGGTTCCCCTATAATGGTTTTATAATTTCCGAATGTTTTCTTTTGTGACTGCCGAACAAACCATTTTTCCTTTTATACCCGCTCCGTCCAGTCATCTCCGCATAAGCGGGCTTTTCTACATAAATTAAAACTATTCTCCGGTTATTAATCAGCTCCAACGATTTTTATGCATATGTTACCTTTGTTGTTGCTTTTAGGAATTTGCCTGCTTATTAAATTTAAAGAAAAATCATCAATTACAAAATGTTCAACGCGTATTGTAGGCGAGATAGAATGTATAAATTGGTTGGCCTGTTGAATTCTAAATTAGTTTTGCGTGTTAGCTTTAAAATTGGTTTAGTCGTTAAATTCTAAATGGATCGAAAGAAAATAATCGTTTACGCGTATATATGGTAAATTTTTTAAAACTGTGTAACAAGAAATGGTCGCACAAGTACGTATATACAGTACATGTGTATTACTAATAATGTAGATAATGCATTCGTTGCCTGTATATATAGACCGGCTCTCAGAACCAAATTCTTGTCGAAAAAAATTATAATAATAAAAAAAATAAAAAAAATAAAAAATAAAAATAAATAAATAAACAAATAGATATATCCAGTATATAAGAAAAAAAAACATCAATATAGAACCTAAAGGAAAATAAGATGACTACCTCTAATTTCTCTATCGAAGATTTAGCCACCTCACTAATCAGTAGGTTAGATCGGGAAAGGATATTTCCACCTTGGCATTGGAACCCAGAGTCCTTTGTTGCGCCTGCAACAGCTATAAATGCGCCCGCATCTTGTAGAAGACCGAGGAGGTCTCCTAACGCCTTTCTTCTATGTCGCAAAAATGTTCACCAAGAAGCAAAAAGACGCGGAACTTGCAATATGCGTGTAATAAGCAAGGTTACAGGAATCTTATGGCGTAATGCCTCTCTGGAAGAAAAAGAGGTCTACGAGAGACTTGCGGATCAAGTGAATGAGATTCACGTCCAAAGACACACCGTTTTGTATCGACAGCAGCAGCAAGCCCTCCTCTCTGCTTCTTCTTTATCTCACACGAACGTTCCTCTGAGACATACGGCATATAAACCTTACCAGATTCCCTCCGCCCTTACCCCGAATCACAATAAATCTTATCAACTGCCGACGCCACCAATGAATCTCTTCGATTACGAACCCCTTCAAACTCCGTCG